GACAGGTGTATAGACTAAGATTTTGTTGCACATAACCCCTTTTATTAATAATTTTAATAATAAATTATTAACACTGTAAATACATGAAAAACGTACCCTACCTAACTACGAGTTTCACTCCCCACTATGTTGACCTTCCCCGTTACGGGGAAAACGGGGGAGCAACCGGGCGGCCACAAGCTCTAAAGGTGACAAAAAAAATTAGTTGGCTGTCACACAGCCCCCAGCACCGGAAGCTGACTTAATGGTGTACAGCTAGCCGAAGAAGACAGCAAATATATTTTACAAAACCATATAAACCGACCTATCCTTGTGAAACTACGTGTAAAGTAATTGGTCACACCCACTCCAACAACCAATGACTACCGCCTACATGCCCTGCGAATGTCGCTCTGAATGTTTTTCTGTTTGCTCCAACCTGACCCTACAGACAAGGTTTTGTAACGTGCGAACTTATTTAGTAAATTTGGTCGGTACCAACGGTCGAATGATTTTATAGAAGAAATTACACCTATGGTTCCAGGTAGACTTCTGGACCACATGTGGAAGTCTGTCGGAGGTTCACTTCGAATGTGACAATTGAGTGTCAAACTTTCGTCGCACCTCTTCAGAAGTCCGACCACCATTTGACACTAGACGAGTCCCATTTGACACTAGCGAGTCCCATTAGACACTGGCGTGTCCCCATTTGACACAATGCTGAAGACACCGATAGACGGTCGACTAGTAACAAATTTATACTTTTCTGATGTGTGTTGTACATACCTACATAGGGATTAAATTTTTGCCATAAGAACCGTCGTGAGTAGGTCTATTCTACACCTGACTCAGAATTGAGAAAAACGTTTCTTCGTCGTCTTTACCGTCCTTTACCTATAAATCTGTATAATTGTGTGGCCGTCTACCTGTCCGCGACTGTTTCAACACAAAGGGCGTCGCTTCTGCGAAGTTAATGAATTAAACACCCGAAAGTACAACTAGGCTGGTGTTGTGTAAAAAAAAAATTTTTTGAGAAGCGAGAGAGGGTCCTCCTCGTCCAGTCGGTTTTTTCCGGTTTGCCCGGCAAACAATGGGGTCCGTTGTAATCGGGTATGGACACGTGCAAGGACTTATGCTGCATAATCCTAGCTGGTGTCGACCTTAAAACAATGTAGATTGTAACAGTTTTTTCAAGGTCCTTTTTACGGGGTGGGCTGACAACCCATATATATTTTGATACCTGATGACTGTAAATCCCAACCTGGCAAATAACCTTGTGCCAAACAACGTGTGCCGAGGGTACCTGTTGTGTGTTGTTGTTGGGTTGACATAGGCCAAAGTGTGTAGGGGGTTTGAGGGCCACGGTAGAATTTCCGTGTCACTGGTGGACTACACTGTGTATGTATTGTACATGGGGGGGGGGTGTTCCTTTTGGGTTAATTGGAAAATCGATATGATGAGATCTACTTTGACCCATCTGACGGGTCAAGTGGTCGTAGTCGGTACATTAATAAAGACGTGCGTTGTCTGATACCGAGACTGGTAATGGGGACTCTAGTGTTCGAGTGTTATATCAGAGGGTTCATAAGAACCAGAACTGGGCCCTGTGCCCGGCCTACTCGAAGTCCTTGCTTGGTGACCCGAAGTTGCGACAGTTCACCTTGGACCGACCTGGGACGTTGGACGAGTAGTCCTTTGCGCCTCTCAGGGGCAGGAGGGACCCGGGACCCAGGTGACTACTCAACCGCCACGGCTGGAAAGGCTTCGGCCGAACGTACGGGTGGCACTAAAGGCAGCCGGTCCTGCTTTCCACTGGAACTGGGGTAACTCGCGACTGGAAGTAGCCGCGGCAAAGGTCTACCTAATCCGTCCGAATACCAGGGCCAATCCTGCCACATAGGACTGGGTCCAGGGGGTGACACTTCCACTCCGCGAAGAGTGGGAGCCAGAGAAACAGCTTTGGCGACGAAGTACGCTGCGACTCGGAGACGCGGAGACCCACGAGACCTTCCTACGCCGACAACCGCACTGACCGGCCGGCCCGCGGGCATCCGGCTAGGTTTTCCCTCGACGTCGAGTGCCCGGGTTGTAGTTTTCCCCGACCCCTATCGACGGCTATCAACTTCGCCGCAGCCGCGGCCAATCACTTCGTTACTCTCGTCGCGCCCGACTCTCGCGGATGGTAGACGGTCAACACGAGACTAGTCCAATGTGAAATCGATCAAACCAACTTGGAAGTGGAGTTACGACGATAGCCATCTTTAGACATGCCTACACTACTTAGAGGCGAGAGGTGTGACCACAGTTTGAGTAGAATATGTTTGACCACGGCTGGCAATAGCTGACTACCGATTGACGGTGGATCGTTTGTCTCTCCTAAGCTCCTTCAGACACTGGTGGCCTCGCGCAATGCTAGAAACCGCCGGTGCAGACCGGTAAGCTCGACCTCCAGCATCCTGTGCTCCTCCTTCGAAGCCACCACGCACTGTGGTACGTCGAGGGGTGTCTACAGGTAGACGTACACGAGGTGCGCAAGCGACAGTGACGTTCACTTCCCCAACCAACGCCCGCCGACCGGTCAAAGCGGTGTACTGGTCCAAGTCTCCGGCACGTAGCAAGTCTGTATATAGAGAGGCCGGGCACGCGTGCACCCTCCTCGGATATATTTAGGGGCGTGATAGAAACCAGCCTTTGCCTGTTATCTCCACCACCACTTCCGAACACGTAGAGAAGCGTCACTCTGGTTTGACACCGGCCAATCATATGACCAGCTACATCACTCGACCTCATCTAGAAATACTGACGGACGGTAGGCTGCGTCTATGTCTTTATTCACTTCTCTCTACCGATACGCACAGACACTCGCACCGGGTGTCAGGATGCGTGCTCGGCAAATGGTCCACGATGGGCACAACTACATCCCACGAGTTTGACACACGGTAACCAAGGAGCTATCACCCCCCCAGCCCATCCCCCAGTGGCAGTCCTCCTTACTGAGCGATACCACAAGTGTATCCAAGCCTACACAGGAAATTCTACCGTGGCCCAACTCAAACCCCTACACACTTGGCCTATGTCACCAACAACAACACAACAAGTACCTCGCACACGTTCTGCACAAGAGTTATTTGCCAGTGGATTTACAGCATCAGGTATCAGAATATTATATGGTTGTCCAGCACAACCGTAAAAAGACCTTGAAAAACCTGTTACAATTACATTTGTTTAAGTTCGACACCACCTACAACGGATCTATCGCTCGAGGGCTACCTAGAGGTCTATGGGGCACGTGTTCTCACAACATGTAGACGTAACCCACGATACGACACAGGGTACCCCGTTGCCGGGCAAACGGGAAACCGACTGGACGAGGAGACCTCTCTCGCTCTCAAAAATTTTTTTTTTACACAACACCAGCATTATTGTACTATCGGGTGGTTAATCATAACCTCGCAGAGGGCGACCGCCCCTTTGTGTGAAACAGGTCGCGACAGCTAGCGACGCACGCGCGCGCCCGGTGACGTTCCCGAGGGAGAATCCGCAACTCGCAACGTGTAAAAAAGCCTCAACCCCAAGTGGGCTTGTAGTTTTAATTCATGTTAGCGTGTGTGCTCAGCTGTAAACACAGTTATTCGATCACTGGGCTGTAAGTCGACAATTTGTTTAGTTGAGGACAACCATAGTCTTTATATCTTAGAATAATGATCATGGGCCTGTCATAGACTAATATTGTTTTAAGTATGTGTGTGTATGAACACTGCGTGGAGTGCTTTGGGAAGTCATCCACTGGATTTATAGGGTTAAGGCCCAGATACACCGGCCCGAAATCGGAAGTAAATGGGAGTCGGGCCGAACATGAGCGTGGGCACGCCCTATTCGGAGTGGTGTGCGCCGTACCGTCGGGTCTTTTCTGCCGACCTGACGCCTTTTCTTGCCGATTCAACATGTTGAATCGGCGTCGGGAACACCACCGGAAGTCGGACAAAGGGATAACACTGATTGGCTGTTCAGCTAGCGAATCAGTGCATGAGAAGCGTTCACGGAAGTGAGGGAGGTAAACAAATGATTTAACACAAGCGTGAGTCCAAGGGCTGCTAGCTCCAGTACCTCCCGTTCGTCCTAGGCTCCTGTTCGTTCATGTTTTCAATGGACGAGAGTGAAAATGGAAAGAAAAACGCTATTTGTTGTTTGTTTATATCACGGAGTCTGTTCTTCTTCTCTGTCTTCCGGTTGTTCCGGATGTTGCCTCTTTTGAATGATGAATACACACTACCGCCACCTGCTGGTAAGGAGAGTTATTGCCACTCACGCATACGCAGTTCATGCGCGCTCGGCTCGGATTTGCGGTGTGTTCCAGTGCGCGAAGTCGGCAAATATGCAGGAGAGTCCGGCGACGCAACAGTCGGTGTCGGCGTCGGCGACTTCTCAGGTGACTGGCCGGTGTATCTGTGCCTTTAAATTCAACAGTGTGTCTATATATACAGCATAATGGTTCAGCATACAGCAGTGGGGGACTGTCTGTGAACATAATCCAGATCCAGTGCTCCTTGACAGTATATTGTATAGTATTAAAGCCTGAGTCTTAGACATCAGAAATCACCCTGTGTTGTTGCTTTTTGCTGCCCTGAAGCACCCCCTGATATCCCTCCTTCCTTATCTCTCATTGCTGACAGTGCTGTGTTCAGAGAAGGAGTTCCATGATGCTGCACGGAGGAACGACACAGGGAAAATGCAGGAACTCATCAAGAAGGGCGTTAACGTCAAAGCCAAAAACAAAGTAAGTTTGCTGAAGGAAAGCACTTTATGTGGTTTCATGCCTTACTTATAAAATAACATTTAAATAAAATACTGTAGTTAGGCAAAAGTACTGAGAAGTTCTCATTCTGCACCTCCCACTTAAGAATAATATAATTAGATTGTAATTATTGATAAATGAATATTATATATAGACTATATATACAAGAGCTGTAAAATAAATATGTATATCATTTTTATATCTGAGATGTAGTAAAAGTATAAAGTAAAATGCAAATACTCGGGTGAATGACAAAGTAGTGCAAAATGAAAGTGTAGTACTTTAAATGTAGTTAGTCAAAACCACTGCTTACTAGCTAAGGTGGTAAGTATAATTTAATTGCATTTTTAAACAGTATTTTAGTGTGTTTGTTGGATGCAGGAGTTCTCTCCCATGTTTCTCCATAGATATACTGCATATATATATATATATATATCTCTCTGTATTGACAGATTGACCGTAAGGCCCTGCACTGGGCAGCCGGAGCGGGGAGCGAACAGGCTCTGCAGATGCTTCTGGAACACGACACTGAAGTGAACGAGAGGGACTCGGTGTGTGAATACGGCTGTAATGACATCCTAATGACAATTTACACTGAATTCATTCATTCATTCCCTAGCATAAAAAATAACAATATATCCCCGAAGAATGATTGCCGTTTAGTTTGTTAATAAAGTTTTTACATAAGAAAAAAATTGAAAAAGATGTGTCTGTACAGAAATACAAAACCATATGTTAATCATCTTAAGATTCTCTGTAATGCCTTTACTCCCTTGTCCTTCTAACAGAACATTTTCAATGACAATAGTCCCAAAACATACAACATGTATTGAAATTAATTGATTATTTGAGCTTATGATACATGATTTGCTGCTTCTTTACCATTTTCACCCAAAAAATGTATGTCTTATTATACACAAAGGAATTGAATAGATGGAAATAATGAGTTATTTAGGAACAGCCACATCAATGCTTTAGCAAATGGAACAGTGTGTGACGCCAGTTGCTGTGTTTTCTCAGTAGAACCCAAAAACACAGAGCAGCAAACAACTACAAAACTAAATTATGTTCACACTTTATTTAAACTCACATACTTTTTCCACATAGTAAAGGGTTATGAGCATGTGCAAATGAATGCAAAATAAGAATGTGAGAACTCCACTTTTGACATGTTCAGGGCACTTACTCATTAATGTGTGGGCGACTGTGGCTGTGAGGGAGTGTGGTCGTCTTTCAACCAGAAGGTTGTGGGTTCGATCCCAGCCCATGCAGTCAACATGTCGATGTACCCTTGGGCAAGATACTTAACCCTGAGTTGCTCCCGATGGCATGGCCAACGGTGTGTGAAAGTGTGTGAATGTTAGGTCCTAGAGCAAGGTACACTGCTTTGTATGAATGGGTGTGAATGGGTGAATGACATGTAGTATGTAAAGCGCTTTGAGGGGCCTTAAAGACTGGATAAAGCGCTTTATAAGTACAGTCCATTTACCATTAATAAACCTCTCTAACATAAGGCAACAAATCCACCACACTTTAGGACAGAGACAGACCATGACCAGAAGAGAGTATACTAGTTTCTACACCTGTACTATCAGAGCTCTGCTGACAGCTCTGAATGTTTTTCCATAGTTTGGCATGACCGCTCTGCTCCTCGCCTCCTGGTTTGGTCACCTTAAAGTCCTGCAGATCCTGGTGTCCTGTGGAGCAAAGCTCAACAGTGAGAACAAAGTGAGAGCTGCTTCATTTCATCACAACTCCACACCAGAACTATGAGATGTGATATCTACGTGTGTGTGTGTGTGTGTGTGTGTGTGTGTGTGTGTGTGTGTGTGTTAGGATGGTCTCAGTATGCTGCACTGTGCTGCCCAGCGAGGCCACATCAAAGTATTGGAGTTCATCATGGAGGACCTTGAGGACATCCGGCTGGACCGAGTTGACAAGGTGAATCCTGACGCAATTTTAAANTTTACAGGGTCGTACGCAGAAATCATTGGGAAGGAAAATAGTTCTACATTTTGTTGTGTTTGGGGTGATACGGTTCCAGTCCAAACAGAAGAACTCCAGATTCTCGGTCACGCAAGACTTTGAACCAAAGAGCAGGTAAGGTGTGATAACTTGTGGCCACCCGGGAAAAGTTTGGGAGGGGTGGACTAAGGTAGTAGCGAGGTTTATTTACCGATCCGGGTTCGAATTTTACCGAGTTTAATAGGCAAGATATTGGTCCCCAGAGGTTGGAAAACTTGATGTATTCCCTCCTAATGCTAACCTACTGCAAAATTAACAAGAACATGTGTGTGTGTGTGTGTGTGTGTGTGTGTGTGTGTGTGTGTGTGTGTGTGTGTGTGTGTGTGTGTGTGTGTGTACATTATGCAGACAGATGCTGTCAGGAGAACAGTGAGAGGGGAGCAGTTGGCAGGATACGCATGGGGATGTAGTGCATCTCTGCTACTTGATGACACTGAGTGGAGTCAGTGATGTGATTATGCACAGTTTTGTTCATTTGCATGTTGGTAAAAGCTGTGTTGCTGCACTCAACTATTAGAGCCAAAAAAGAGCTTTGGAATTTCACAGCTAATGCAAGAGACCGGGGGAAGTAAAGCCTAAATATCTTTTAAGGTAACTTGGTGTTGTATTCACTTTGTGAGGTTAATATATTACCTGTATCCACTATATACTGTAGTGTAGATCCTTGACCCATTATGTATTGTTCTCAACCAAAAAAGGTTTTTTGACTTTTTCCTAGGTGAAGCAAATCATTCTGTCTTCGAGAAATATCAGTGTAACATTTGTGATATACACCGGGACTCTTTATCCCCCAAACTACGATGTTTCATCTCTTTCATCCCCATACCAGCCTATCGGACGGTATTAACAACTATTATTTACATCTATAACTGTAATGGTCTAGACTCTATTGTATTACTCAGAAGACAAGTCTTTTGAAGTTAAGTTGACTTCCGGAGTTGTTGACTGCTAGCTTAACATTAGCTTGGAGAGTAATTTGCGATTGACATAAACAAAGGGTTAAGAGTGAGAGGCAGGCAAGACGCAACCTCTGTCTTAAAAGTGGTTGTTCCTAAGGCCTGCATTCTTTCTAACATCTGGTTGGCACTTCAGCTGATAGCAAAAAGTCCAACTGTATAGATGTCTATACAAAAATGACTGTACTTCTTGATGTATTATCTAAACATTGTCCTGAAGAGTTTATAGACTCAATTGTTAGTTTCAAGTCTGCCCCAATAAAGCATGGTGTTTATTTATTAAATGATGGACACAGGACAAAAACATTGAAATAAAAAAAGGGTATGCTTTAGGGCGAGGCTTGCTTGTAAATAATGTAGCTAGCACGGCTTTGGATATTGTTTTTGTCTAAGAGCTTTAAGGTGTATTTTAAGTTCAATACGACTTAATTGTAACATGTTGGTCGGCTTAAGATGTCATCAGCGTTTGGTTGTACTTGGCTCCAGCCTCTCGTGTCCCGACAAAATCAAATTGATGGTGGCAGGGTGGTTGAACATAAACTGTTCTATACTCCACTATACAAATATTTATTTGCTAGAAGTAGTGCTTGTATTATTTAATTGTAGTACTACCTGCTATCAATGGTGCTGACAATTGTTTGCTTTATATTGTTACAGGTCGTTCAGTAAACAACATTTAGCCAAGATAGTTAATATCACGCATTTTACTGGTTGTTCAGGTAAATACAGATTTGTTTATTTTGCTACGATGAAAAAAGGTAATAAAACCTTAATATACCCCCATATTGAACCCTGGAGTTATAAATGTCCACAACATCTTCATAATGATGTCTCAGTGGCAAAACATAAGTGCACTTCCTTTTATGTCAATAACACCACAATAAAAAGATGCTTCTAGACCACAACAGTATAAAATCATGACTTTGGGCCTCAATAAACCAAAGTTGCAATATTTGTAGGGTAATAAGACAGCACGAGCGCACAGGGGTTGTTTTCTTCCATTTTATCATCTATGAATCTCTAATGCAGCTGCAGTAAAACATAACCGTTAAAGTTTTTGCCGGGAGCTTTCATTACACTGTATGAGAATTTATTGTGCATTGGGACGAAGATTCTGAAGTAGGAGCCAGCTCTGCTAAGTGAAATATTAGTTTACGGCCCCTGACACTAAGCATGGGAGTTTTGATTGCACCCTCATTGCGCAAGCTGTCAATTGAAGTTTCGTCCAAATGTTGTTTTTTTCCCTTCTCGTGCACTTACAGCCGTCGCTCCTAATGAAATGACAGTGTCATCTCTTTCACTGTGTTCCCTATGCTCACTTCTCTCCACCCTGATCCTCCAATCTCCCTTTCTTTCTGTCTCACTCTCTCATCTCTCTGTTTTGCATCTGTGGGGACAAAGTAATGAGCGGCGTCCCTGCTCTGATTGGATGATGTATGATGTTATTAGGTGGGATGAAAGCGTGTGCAGCTCAAACGACAATGAAAAGGGAAAGGGGAGAGAGACAGAAGAAAAGTGCAGGACTAGAGACACTGAAATTCTTTTGACAAGCAGCTTTGAAAGAGAGAGGATGGAGGGGGAGTGCTGCAGATGCTTGCATGTAACAATAGGAGTAGGTCACAGTTTCACTGATGCCTCAACTCTGGCACATTTCCTGCGGGAAATAGTCCTACAGATCTCCTCCCTGCATCCTCTGTCACTCTCGCTTCCTGTGCAACACTGAGGAAAACATGCGGATTGCGCAGTGCCCTGGGTCCCTCCCCGGGGGACGAGAGTGAGGACATGGATGACGTTTAGCAGAGGGGGGACTCCCTTGATTGCCCCTTAGTCCTCCAGAGACTGTCAGGAACTGCACCTTCATCCATGGTTCATATCCCTTATTAAAGCTGCATGGAAGGATACCATCAGTTCACTGCGCAGACTAAAAGACTGAGCTCTAAGTGTACAATATGTCGTTTTCCACCAATAGGGGTCTCTTAATCAGAACAATAACAAAATACAGAGTTTGGTGGTGTTGTTTATAACAATGGGATCATGAGTGTTACCGTCTCACAACTTCATTTTTCATCGTTTAGGACATTTTTACCAGGAGCCGAATTACCCGCAGAGGTCTTCTATACTTCAAAACACATGGACCAGCTGATTTAAACTGTTAGAAACACAAAATAAGCAATTTCACTGTAAAGATCAGTAATTCCCGAATACTGTTCTGCAAGAAAAAGACGGAGGGGCAGCAAACTAACCACTAACGTTTGCTCAGCTTTTTTCACTGATTACTTAAGATGCATTTACCTAAGAAATTCTCACTGGGTCCAAACAAATTAAACAGGTGATTCAAATAATCTTACAAAATCAAGTGTGTCTTCCGCCTACGTATGCTCAGCTTGTTTCTCTGATAACTTACGATCATACATCCGTTGACCAAAATGAGTATCCAGTTAAACTATACAGTTAAAGCAACCAAGGTCTAAGAAGTGTGGCAAAAACTCCGACGCATGTGCAAGAGGATGCCTTGCCATTGCCAGGCGACCAACTTAAACAAGCCTTGATTAAAGTGGTCGTTATCTCAGGTTGGAAAATTGCTGGATTTGGGATAGTGTGAGTACACAACTTGACAGAAAATATACAAAATCGGTTTGGTAGTTGTTAGACATTTTATTGCGGAAATGTTACGTATTGGACTTTTAAGCTATGTCACGGAACCTACAGGGTTCTCCTTGCTGTTGGAGTAGCCACTCAGGAGAACTTAATTTCCTCGACACAGTGCGAGTGCTTCGTGTAATTGAGGGGCGCTATAGTGATGTCTGAGAGCGGCTGCAAAGACTCTTTCTGTTTCTTAAATGAACGTAAAGTAGGCTGCAGGGACTCCGCTCATGAAACTTTCAAGCTCTCTGTTCACCCTCCACCCTTCCCTGCACCACCCAGCGCCCTTGATTATATATATTTTATTTATTTAGCAGGAGACAGACAAACTCTCTCACTTGACTTCATCCCTTTGATGGCCAGAGCTCTGGCTACAAATAACACATGAAGCAGGCCAGTGTACTGATGCCTTCGCTTAAGTTATACATGTATTCTATTCATCAGTTGAATTACTACAGAATGATTGTAAGATGGAGTGTTTGGCGAATGAGTCTAACAATGTAGGGCAATTCACTTATTATCTAAGAACTTGTTATTGGATACTCAAAGCCTAAACTCTTTCTCCAGAGAAATATCTCTAACCTATAAGATCATATACACAGCCAACATAGCTGTATTCTTTTCTTTTGTAGTACTTCAAAGTGTTTAGAGGTTGGATAAGTCTTCCTTTATTATGGTAATGATGTCAGAGATCAATCATCTGTTCTTCCAGGCGTCTCATCTCCTGGCAAGACTTCCTAAAGACGTTATATTGATGCCCAATGAGGCTTTCATGCATCTTTGATATTTAAATGCTTTGGTTAATCATATAGGGAAAGTCAGGAGGCAGAATGTTACCTTTGGCACCAATATTTCTTTGTAATTAAGACGCAACATAATTTGCAAATTTTAAATAAAAGTTTTGATATTTTGCAAAAAGTGGGTCAAAACCTTAGTACTACATGAGCAAAAACAAGAAATACAATATACACTGTTTATGAAACATGCCAATACACAGTGTGGTTTGAAATGACTAACAGTACATAATTTTCCTAATTGTACAAACCTAATGCAATCCAATAACATAAACGTATAGGTATTAAACCATGTTTGAATTCCAGATATAGCAGAAATATAGCATATAGTAAAACTCCTTTCTCTGTGGTTGGTGTCTTTAAACTCTGACATGTTTAACTTAACCTTTCCTTTTCCAGGTTCTGTTAATGACTGGCATTTCTGCTTTCGACTGTTGTGTTGGCACCGCTCTAATGCCATGTTGTTCTCCTGTGCTTCCCTTGCAGAGCCAAAGCTGAAAGGCATTGTTACTCGGCTATACAGCCAACATGGATACTACCTGCAGATGCAACCTGACGGGACCATGGACAGCACGAGGGATGAAAGCAACGCGTTTTGTGAGTGTGTGTGTGTGTGTGTGTGCGTGCGTGCATGCGTGCGTGCGTGCGTGTGTCTATAGCCTTGTCTTTGCTCGTAGTCGTGTTTT